CAGTCTCATTCCGCGAGAATCGCGTGTCCAGCGCACTTTGTCCCCTCCCCCTCCCCCCGGTGTGTTTGTCTTCTCATGGCGTGCGGCACATACGCGTTGCGCTGTGTCGTCGTCCCCGAGCGAGCGCGCGCGGAGAATGATAACGAATTAAACGCCGAGTGATCGGCGCGTTCCGAGCTCGCCAACTCGCGTGTCGTGCCACCTGTCTCCCCCGCCCCGCCCAACCCGCTTGCGTAGGAGTAGAGCGTGTGGCGCGTCAGGAACACCTTACGGGAAGCCTGTGCGGCGCGCGATCCGCGCCTCTTAGTACTAGAAAGCGCGTACGGGGGCGTCCCGAGCGCTCGCAAGTGTGAACGAGCGAGCGAGAGAGCGAGCGAGCGAGCTCCCCTCCACCGCTTCCCACGTGACCCCTGTCGCTCCTGCGTCCCCACTCCACTCCACCGATCACCACCACCTGCCATCGTCGTCCCGTTTTCCTCGCATTATCACCTCACTTCGGCTCACTGTCCGCGAACTACTGTAATGCTCGTCCGTGTGTGTACGCGTGTGCAGCTGCTCTCCTCCGCTTGATCCCGCATTCCCCGTCGTCGTCGGCGAGTGATTTTTAACCTCCGTACTCGCACTCGCGCGAGCGCGCGCGAGCGAGCGATGCGCGAAATTTGCGTTGCGCGACAGAGAGAGAGAGAGAGAGAAAGAGAGAAAGAGAGAGAGAGAGAGAGAGAGAGAGAGAGAGAGAGAGAGAGAGAGAGAGAGAGAGAGAGAGAGAGAGAGAGAGAGAGAGAGAGAGGGAGGACGGTTTATATAAGAAGGATGTGCCGCGCCGCATGTGTCCGCCGGGGCCGAGGGAAATGTTTCTTTTCGACACACATCTACGATCGGACGCGCAACAGCGGCTTAATATGTCGCGCTGTTTACCCGCTCACGTTGCTCGGTAGAAAGCGAAGTTTGCGCGCTCCGTGGATTTTTCCGCTGTGAGATAACCGCGCGCGCAACCGCGAGCAGCTGTCCGGAGCGCTCGCGCGCTCGGGGACGGGCGTTTAGGATTTGACTCGGAAAGAGGCGGAGTGGGGGTAGAGTGGTGATTTATCGCGACGGCGGTAACCTCATGCGACCGAAAATCCGCACGGGAACCAAGCGCGCCACCCGTTGTTTTCCGCGCGACTTCCAGCGGCGCACGCGTAAATATAGCGAATTACATATTTCAAAGCGTGTCGCGCTCCTTTAATTCACCCAGATTCGATATCGATGGAAACTCGCCAGACATTCGAGAACGCGCAGCAGGCTTTCAACCTATTTCGGTAACGCATATGCGCGTTCTAATAACTTTTTTTCGATCAAGAGGGGGGGGGGAGAGAAAGGAAGACAGAGAGAGAGAGAGAGAGAGAAAGAGAGAGAAAGAGAGAGACGGGGGTGACCTAATTCTTAACCTCTTCAGACTCCGCGTAATCTATATAGGTGCAGTATTTGCCTCAAATAAAAACACACTGTCTTTATCCACAAGAACCGTTTCAGCTCGCGATGAAACCGAAAGGAAAATAGGCCGCTAGGAAATTAGGTCGCTCCGTTGTTCGCTATCCTTTTTTTCTTTCCTTTCTTCTTTTTCTAAGTTGCTCTTTCCCTTCTTTTCCTAAGTTGCTCTTCGTCGGTCCCTTTGTGCCGCTCTCACGCAGATCTGGACAGGTAATATTTGAAGTAGGTTAAGTTTCCGATCGGGATCGTTCAATTATTCGCCAGAATCCTGCGTCTTGCTAAGGGAAACGAGATCATTCCAATGGAGAACCGTTTCGAATAATTTCGCGGCACCTGCCCTGGTGATTGTGCGGATTACGAGAGAACGAGATATCAATTTAACGCCTCAGCTTGGGCAAGAGATCTAAGAGAGCTACGCGCGCGTGTGTGTATGTATATGTGTGTGTGTGTGTGTGTGTGTGTGTGTGTGTGTGTGTGTGTGTGTGTGTGTGTGTGTGTGTGTGTGTGTGTGTGTGTGTGTGTGCGCGTGCGCGCGTGTGTGTATGACCCACTTTTGAAATGACAAAAGTCGCAATGTCCGATATTTATCGCAACGTTTTGGAATCCGACTTGAAATATCTCGATATAATTAATTCGACGGCAGTTGTATTCTCGGTCATTTGCTGGAGTGCAAATTGGCGGTCCACTTCGAGGCGGAACGTAAATTTAGGAAATGCCGATTTCGAACTGACCGGGAAACTTAGCTCGTTGAAATTAAGGTCAAGGTCTTTGGGCAGCCCGCGCAAGTAGATAAAACAAAGTTGACCCGAGATATCATAAGTGACAAATACTGCGTTCACCGTGTCTTTGTGACGCGGCGTCAATCACACATCCGGATTAAGTCCTGCGAGAGGAACTTGTAGGAAAAGTGACATGCTTTTACTAGTCGATCGACGCTCATAAGGCCGCGAGCTACGCTAACCTTTCACTTGCGAGCGTGCTCAAAAGACACAGATTTAAATATACCCCCAATTTCACCGTGTTTAATTATGAATCCGGTCGTATAACGAATTTGCCGGAATTAAATGTACTTATTCCCTACTTAGTCGGAATAACGCTAATAATAAAACCGATCGATAACCCAGCTAGGTGTTTAAATATCCCGCATAATCCCGTCTTCAAAGAGAGAAAGGTTAAAGGGCTCGCGAAAGAGAGAGAGACAGAGAGAGAGAGAGAGAGAGAGAGAGAGAGATATGATTCAAGGATTGTCCAAAATTTCAGGGGCGTGTTTAAAAATTTACGTCAATCTCTTCCTCTTTTCCTCATCTGCGATTGAGATTCAAGTTTCGGAATTTGCGGCTACCACGGTCCTTTAAAATTTACGGCTTCTCTCTCTCTCTCTCTCTCTCTCACTCTCAATTGACTTTAATTTATTTAATGACTTCAATCGCACAGCCGAAATCGTCTGTCTGCTGTAAAAGAGGCCGTGAGAAAGGATGAAGCTCGGTCAGATTTCGCCTAGAAATTCTCATCGAAGACTTCATAGACGAGAAAAAGAGAGAGAAAGAGGAGCGAAAGAGAGATCAAGAGGGAGAAGGAAAGAAGCTACGCCGGGAGAGGGAGAGAGATAGCGATCGAGAGAAAGAAAGAGAAAACGAGAAACCACGTGACGCCAGAACACTTCGTATACCGAGCGCGCTCGCGACGAGGCGCGTTTTAATACTGCCGACGGTCACGCGGTATCGGCGTCGCTGCGTTCGTCGCGCCGCGCCGCGCCGCCTCGTGTCGCGTCGCGTCGCCGCTTACGCGTCCGCCCAAAAGCCAGCGCGCCTGGGCCGATCGCCATCATGAAAACATTCGCCCGTCGTTATCGTTGTTTCTCCTCCGTCCTTGCGGGCTCTTTCGACTGAAGGACGTAATATCGAACGTGCGAGCTTGAAGTCGAGAGAGCGCACGTAGCTTTCGCGAACACGGTTCCCCACGGGTCGCCGCTGGAACGGCGACGACACAGCCGGAGCTCGCGGTCACGGAGCGCGAGCCTGAACGCGCTGCTCGCTGGCCGATTTTGCGTGCCGCGCGAAGTGCGCCGCGAGACCGAGGATTATTAAACGCGAGCGAACCAGCACGACGGCGGAAAGAGACGGGAGATATATTTCGCCGACGGTCCGACGGTATTGTGCGCTAAGTGTTCGTCGCGATAAGGATACGAGACGGCTGCCACACTTAAATGCCTCGCACAAATTCCTACTCCATGTTGTGCATCGGTTGCGACACGGCTGCGTGTTGGAAAGTGAGTAATATATTCGCGTTGCCCCGTGATCACGCCTCTCTCTCTCTTTCTCCCCCCTTCCTCCCTCTCTTTCTCTTTCTCTTTCTCCGTTTCTCGTTCTGTCTTTCTCTCCAGCTCGCTCGCTCTCTCTTTCTCTCGACGCGGTATCGCTATCGCGGCGGAAAGAAAAAAATCAGATCGCCAAGATGACGTAGTGAAAATTCCTAGGAATTATTTTCCTCTTCCTCGCGCGCTCTCTCTCTCTCTCTCTCTCTCTCTCTCTCTCTCTCTCTCTCTCTCTCTCTCTCCTCTCTTTCTCTCTCCTACCGATTCCCTCTTCCTTTTTCCGCTCTCTAGCTCTTTCGTTTTCTGTTTCTCCGTTTCCTCGCGCTCCCTCCGCCGCTTTCGGACACGGAAAAGCACTATACTCCGTTTTTTTTTACGTTTGTGTGTCGCGGTCGCTTGAAATTTCGGTTGTCGTCAAGTCTTTTGACATGTCCATGGAATGAGGAAGGTACGCTTCGTCGGGAAGATGATCCGCGATCTGACCTTGCACGGCGCAGAAAGCGCGATAAATAATTGACACATTCGTTTTTCGTGTCACTTTACATTCGATTACGTGACGTCTTGGAAGGATCCGCCAGTTATTTTTCCTTAAACGAATCGCCGAGTGATTGCGGTCGCCGCTACGACTACTGTGCTCGACAATGCGACAGCTCTTATATTTATGCAATTTCTGCGATTTAAATTCTACGATGCGACAGTTCTTCGCTGAGTTGTTCGTGTATTGTACGTGAATGTGTACTTTCGATACGGTACGTGGATATTGGTAGAGAATAACTGTATTATCCGCGGATGTAATCGAGGGATTTTCTTGAGTGATCAGAATTATGACATGAAATCTTCTGTGAGTGGAGTAAAATAAGCTTCAACTTTTTGAATCACAGTACTGTTTTGTGCAATATTCCACAGTGATCTGGAATGCTTTGTCATCCTATGTGCTTTGTGTATTTCACGTATGTGTGTATTTCACAAAGAGCTGCATCTCCCTGTTTGTTCTAGTACAAATTCACTTCATAAAAGAGAGCGAATTTATGTTTAGGGTAAAAAATGTCAAAGTTGACTCAAAGTTCTACTCATTTCGCAATATAATAATTTTACACCAACTTTTTATCACTGACAGACCTGTATTGACTTCATAGTTGTACAGAAATAATTCCTCTTGGTAAATGGTGACTTTATATTAATCCCTACCATTAATTCTATTATTTACTCGTGACAGGTGAGTACATGGTGACACGCGGTTGTAGAGGAGCAACTGGGAAGAGAGCCGTGGCAAAAGACACCTAGTTATCCTGCACCAAGCTGACTGCGACTTTCCACTGTTTCTTAAGACAGTGACAGCAAGTAGAATATAGAAGGACATCTACTTGTTTTGTGAAGAGCGACACAGAGAAACAACAACTATGGAACGAGAGTCCAATCCTATGCAAGCCCTATGCCGCAGCGGCTGCGGATTTTATGGCTCGCCGGCTACCGATGGCCTTTGTTCTCTTTGCTATAAGGAAAATTTGAAGAAGAAGCAGCAACCACCGGTATCAGCAGCTACTGTACCAACCTCACAGACTGTCTCCAGCAACGCTGGCACGTTGCAGGGTAGTTTTGGTAGTCCAGCAGCTACCGGAACAACAGCCCAACCTACCATTCCTACCATACCTCAGCCAACGACAGATCTGCCCAGTCCCAAAGAAGTAAGTGCCGTTGTGTCTCTACTAGCTGGTTGTCCTGCATAAATGTAACGTCTTTGTTCTTTCAATTAATTTGCAGAAGGTAGCACTTATAAGCTGTCCCGAACCTGCAAGGTCGTATACATCAAATTGTTTTTAGTCTAAGATGTATATTTTTGGAAACAGCAGGGAAAGAATATTAAACTGTTAGAGTGAATCTTTCTCGTGAATATCTATCTTGATGCAACACACAAATATATTTTAGAATATTGCTATTGTGTCTGAATGAAATTGTCTATTTTCATGAAATTTGTATTATCAGGAAAATACATGAATTTTAACAAGTTACTTATTTTTAAAAAATATTGGTCAGCTGCCTGTATCTAAAGAAAATAATAATTCAGCTTCACATTGGATTTATTTCTGACTTGACTATATGTTAGGAATTGATTATATAATATACTACATAACTGCCATGCTCAAAAGAAAAACTTCATATTGTGTGATAAAACACTGACGGAATTGCACCAAAAATAATCTGAAAGAAGAAATTGGTTACATTTTATGTAAAACACTGATTGCTCATCTATTTTATATACATGTGCAATTTTATACTTTCATATACCTAAGCTTTGTCATAAGGATTTCTTTACATATTACACCCGTACCTAATATATATACTTTACATATACCTAAACTTAATTAACATAGTGGTCATGTGGAACAAATATTTATTTTGCATTTTTACAAGCAAAGAGAAAGATGCAATTATATCCACTAAATCGTTAAGATAAAATATCTCAGAGAGGAGACTCAGGGAAAGATATCAACGACAAATAATTATAATGTATGCGTGTTGTCCTTCTGTCGATCAGGTAAGCAGGGAAGATCAGGAAAGTGAAGTAGGTGTAAGCAGTGCAGCAGCTGAAGGATCCGTGAGTAATTGCGAGGCAGACGATTCCTTCGATGGCAAAGAGACTGATAAAGAATCTAAGAAGAAGAAAAATCGTTGTGCTGTATGTCGCAAAAAAGTTGGTTTGACCGGTAAGTGCAAATATAGTCGTGTTAATGTGTGCATAATGCTTTTAACGGCGATTCTCGTAAAACGGTGTGTGATAAGACTTGAAGCTGCTTCTTGACCTGGTGGTGAACCTTTTCAGGATTCGAGTGTCGTTGTGGCGGACTATTCTGCGCGGTGCATCGATACAGTGACAAGCACGACTGCAAATTTGATTACAAAGAAATGGGCGCTCAAGAGATTCGGCGCAACAATCCAGTTGTTGTTGGTGAAAAAGTGCAAAAAATTTGAACTATTTAGTGTGTAGTCGTTGGGAAAATGGTTATATAACTATTATAAACAAACAGAATATAAAACAGGAGAAAACGAGATAAATTATCTGGCAGCTGATTCGCACGTCAAGGGGTGAAACGAGCGAGAGCGAACGAAAGAGAGAGAGAGAGAGAGAGAGAGAGAGAGAGAGAGAGAGAGAGAGAGAGAGAGAGAGAGAGAGAGAGAGAGAGAGAGAGAAAGAGTGTGTGTGCGTGTATATGTTGTATATGTTTGTGTGTGTGAGTGAGAGAGAGAGAAAGAGGGAACGAGTGTTACAGAGTGAGAGTGAACGCGCGAGATTGAAAACAAAATTGTTTTGTAGCCGAAAGCCGAGGAAAGTTAGAAGAAAAAGAAGAAAATGAAACGAATATCAGAGAGAACAAATAAACGAAAGATTGCAAATTTAGAATGTGTGCGTATGAATGAATGAGTTCTTAATTGGATGCCAGTGCCATGTAAGTTTCAGATTGTCATCTAGTGAGAGTTTTAATTGAGAATATACCTGGTTACTAACTGCTGCCAGCTTACTACTATTATTATCTATTATTATCTTCATGATTATTACGGTTTATAATTATTCTATATTATGTTTATTAATTTACTTAAAAAGCGAAATTCGCATATAAGGCTCGTTTTACATAAAGGCAGATAATTTTTTGGTGCGGTCAGTCAGTCCAGGGCATCTCATTAGGAGTTTTGGTTTGTTCGAGAAATTTTATACATTTGCTGTTTTGTTTATATATATATCAGAGAGAAAAATATGAAAAAAGTGGAGTGTTGCTTAGATAAATGGCTGACGTTGATGGGTGATCACAATCCTAGGTTTATAATTAGTCTAATAATTATTAAGTATATATTAGTCTATTGATTCATAAATAATGCAATGAAGTATAAGTAGTACTGTGTGTTTATGTCCAACTTCACGTGAATATAACCACCAATTATTACTCATTAAATATGTTTCAACCTATATTGCAAATAATTATTTACACTACGGCCGCTGGTCTGCGATTTGTAAATTAAATCCCTCTGTAACGTATATACTTGGAGGTCTCTTAGAATGTAAACGAATTGTTAATGTTTGAAATCGTCACTTAGTTTACTCGTTTTCTTTTCTTCTTTTTTTTTCTTTGCTTGTTTTTTCTGCGAGTTTCGAGTAGGATAGCTGCGCGAGGTATTCCGGTGCTGCATCGCAGCGCATAATATAAGAGTAAATGATTAATAAAATGTCTAGAGAGGCCGCGGGCATTACGTGAACGATGAAGTGGAGAATTATTGACGTTTGTAAAGCGTTGAACGTATACTAAAACCGCGCGAGCGAAGGTGGATATTACATTGATAAATTTTATAAGCCACGTATATAACATCTCTGACCGTTTCTTCTCTCCGCGCTTTAAAAACTCGTGCCGAAAACTTCGTTGTTTTTTCTTTTCCCCTTTTTTTTTCTTTTCTTTCCGTTTAGCTCACTCGTAAATAGTTGTATACATGTTTGTAAAGTTGTAGCATACCGGAAAGGTGCTATGGCTGTCCAGCTTTGTTATATTTCTGTAAAACCAAGCGAGATAATGGAGACGAGACGAACCGCAAATTATGCTCCACATGTAGGTCAATTTCATGAGAGCTTCAATTTGCATTCGGCTTTGAAGCAAATGAAAAAAAAATAATATAAAAAAAGATACATATATACAAATATATATTATATATATTACGGCTCGTCGATTTGACGTGAAGTAAACGAAACAATAAAGTTCTTTCTTTCATTATCGTATCCTGGGACAAGGCACCTATTTATCCGAATGCCGTGCTGCCGTTCTTTTATTCCTTATTTTGTAATTATTAGAACTTATATTCTTGTATAAAGTAGACTTATTCTCGTTATTTGCTTATAAGATTTATTTTTCTTCCCGTCGTACTCGAAGAATGTACAGTGATGATTCCATTTATTTTCGAGAAATATATAGAGCTTTCTGTTAAAAAAAAAGCAAAAACTGCAATCGCAAGGTCTATTGAGTCGCATTTTTCTTTCTGCGAGATGGAACAAACACGCGAGCACTGTATTCAGTTCCTCCCGTTACCAAATATCTCTCGCGTATGTATTGCCGCCGAAAAGAAAAAAACGGAGAAAATACTTCAGCTGAGAAAAAAGGAAACTCGATTTTATCCGTCGGATGAAGTGGAGCGTTGAGGACGATTTTTTTCATAAAATTTGCGACCCTCGACGATATCTAGAAATTAAGGCCGTCGAAAAAAAAGCCCGAATCTTATCTTTCGACACGATAATTCGAATTCGTTTGCGGGATGACGATTGTGTGTTGATTTCATAGACAATATATACCTTATCTCGTATCAAGGTCGCCTCGTCGATGAGTCTGTCGTTCTTTTTTTTCTTTCTAACGCACCTTTAGGAACGCTGACGCTGAGAGAAATCGGAATCGTGTAAAGAAAGAAGAGACGCGCAAACAGATACACACACACATACATACACACACACACACATACAATACCGAAATGCGAACATACCATACGCGAACGTACACATACATGAGTTACACAATAGACAAACACACCGATTATCAGTAATATCGACGGAATGGTTGCCTTCAGGCCTTCATCCTATTTTAGGCATAGCATATTTTTCTAACGTATATCGCAATATCGGAATAATCTTGCCTAGCGAGAGCGATCGAATGATAGAGAGAAAGAGGGAGAGAAAGGAAGCGAGAGAAAGGAAGAGAATGAGGGAGAGAGTGACTGAGGGAGTGTGTATTGAGAACAGATGCCTGTGAGTGAGGTAGAGGAATGTATGCGGGAATAAAAATGATTTATTGAGTTAAAAAAGAGTGTGAGAGAGCCAGAGAGAAAAAGAGATCGAGAGATTGTGAGCGAAAGAAAAAAAAAGGGAGAAACAAAAATGAGGATTATCAGCGACGATCGTATTCGGCTGACTATATAAGGACGTAACGATGCTTGTAATTATTACGATTGATATTAGTACGTTTAAGCTATTAAAAAGTAACATCAACTTTAATATATTATATGATTACAATTACCATCCTTTGAAATGCTTTAGACATTTAGGTTTCACGTAAAAGGAAAGTTAGTATACTCCTATACGCGGAGATCCCTACCTCCTTTCTTTCCTCTTCTCCATTTTATCCTCCATCCACTTTGCTCTCCTCCTCGTCCTCGTCCTCGTCCTGTCATTCTTCTCTTCCCAGCCCTCGCGGACCTTTTAACAGTTCTCTTAAAACGTTTATAATTATATAATATAGTGGACTATATTTATGTATATTTAAAAACAAATATATATAAATGCATCGCCCTTAAAACGCGAAAAGCCGGCAATCCGTTTTTGTGTGTTCTTGACTTTATATAGAGAAGACTCTAATCTCGGCACCTCTCTTCTACGAGTTACATTGTAGCCACTTGTACAAAACATCTCCCAGACGTAAAACGAGGTGCGACTTTATTTTCTCTGTAATGAAAATTTCTGCTGCAATAAACGGTTTATCTTTTATCACACGCTGGATATTTGGATCTGACACTATGACTGAAATTTACGCGCGCATACCGCGTTCTTTTGCAAAATTATTCAACACGAACGTGAATTTTCGAAATCCACTCACACACGCGTATCTAATGCCTTGTTATCGATTTTAATTATTTCGAATATATACGAATGAAAAGTTTGCCGTTTTTGTTTTAATTTCATCGAGCATTTAGCTTTCACGGATTTATTAAATTATTCTTGAATCGTGTTCTGCGAAGCGAACTTCAATTTTCAGTAGTAAAATTCAGTCGAGCATGTTATGTGCGCATCGAGCAGAAAATTAAGCCATTTTTATTTTATGTTGGCAAACGAAGACGAAAGTTTGTACGATTCGTTACTTTGATGCGTTAATGATGAATAAAATTTGGGTGACTTGTTGTTGAGTTGTTCTACTTGAAAATGTGCTATGCGCACAGACTAGAAAAATTATTTTTTTTTCAATTATGGGAAGTAGACGAAGTTCAATAGTTTATAACTTTGGCGACAATTATAACAAGATGATTTGAGAAATGTACAGTTTACAGTCTTTAGTTTTCAAACGTATTTTCGGATATGATTGTTTATTTATGTTTCACTGTGTTACACGAGATCTTTCAAGTGAAATCCTCGTGAAGTTCATCAAGTTAAATCGAGACATAAGATGTCTAAAAGACGTCATAATGACGTTATTATGATCACTTTTTACGTCTAAAAAATTTTATGACGTCTTTAAGACGTCATAATGTTGTCTGGGAACATTCACGCCATTTGAGAGCAAAAACCTGTCCCTATAATTTGACTATGAGTAAATCGTTGTGCTTCTTCTCAGAGTTGTTCAATATTGAGATAAAGATATTCTTTGAGTAGCCGCTAAGAACGATTAGATATTCATTAGAAAATATAAAGAGGGAGCTTACAAAATTCCTTCTTTAAAACGCACCTGTTATATTTTTGATATAAATAAGTCGTAAATGTGTAAAGAAACTCACTTAAAAAATAAGATTAAATACACAGAATCATTAAAACTTTTCATTTAATTCGATATATCTTGATCTGAAATAACGGCAACGTTCTCGTGTTAAGCTTAACACATCTGCACAAACTGAAAACTCCAAGTTGTAAAATACTTTTTGAAACATATTATCATGACTTACAATATTATAATCACAAATATGTCGATATAGTTTATCGTACTTTGCTTCTATCATAATCTATCATAATTTGATTCTATCATAATCGAGAAAAGTAATTCTCGAATTTTTATGTGTAAGAGCATACTTGACATATCATTAATTTGTGCTATATCAAAGTAAATAGTTCGCCAATTTTTTACTCTGTTCAACGATATTTATTGAATTGCAAATTTTGAAAGAAATCATTTGATCTATCACTGAGCAGTATTACGTATTCGATTTGTGAAGATGGTGATGGATCGTAGTGGAAACTTCAGAACTAAAAGGAAAATAACGTAAAAGTCTTAGCTTTGGTAAAAATTACAATAATATTGCGATCGAGCAGCAGATCGTACGCATTTGTATTTTTATTTATTAACAAGAACAAAGTTCTGTGACGCCAAAATATATTGTGCAAACAAACATATATATGCACGTGCAAAGTATATAAATTTTACTGATAATATATAAATAATACAATTTCTTCTTCATTATTTTGGCCTGACTTTTATGCCCCACTTCAACTGAAATAATACAAATAATCTAAGTTACATAAGTATTTACATAAGTAATCAAACTTAAGCTAGCGGCACACGGTGCTTGTTTTCGTGCTGGATTGCTTATTGGATGAAAATACTGCGTTCTGATTGGTACATTTCCGAAGATGGATGGAAATGCACCAATCAGAGCACAGTATTTTCATTCAGCAAGCAATCCAGCATGAAAACAAGCACCGTGTGCCACTGGCTTAAGAAATATTTAGAAGATAATCGGTCGCTGAAGTTAGCGGTGCTTGCTGGATCTAGTGAAGTTCATTTACAGACTAGAAATACTAGTTTTTGATTGGTGAACTTTTAATATTACTAGATTCCACTAGATTCAGCACGAAACAAGCATCGTGTGCTCATAGCACAGTATGCACAGTAGCGACATTCTCTGTCGGCACCTTTGATGTTAGCGCTTCCAAAAATGAACTGCGCATGTACAATCTTATTATTTAACTAATAGCAGGCAGGGACCACTTGAGACTACAAACGCTTAACGTTATCTAGAGAGAGAAGAATGTCGTGAGCGTAGAGCGTCAGGTAGCTCAGTGGTTTAGAGCAATCGTCCAGCAAACGAAAGACCCGGGTTCGATTCCCGGTCTAACGACTACCGCGCTCTCGATAGTTTTCTCTCTTCGGAACGAAAATAAAGCCAACGGCACACGGTGCTTGTTTTCGTGCTGGATTGCTTGCTGGATGAAAATACTGCGTTCTGATTGGTGCATTTCCATCCATCTTCGGAAAAGTACCAATCAGAACGCAGTATTTTCATCCAGCAAGCAATCCAGCACGAAAACAAGTACCGTGTGCCACTGGCTTAAGATGCAGGTCCCGAACGCACGGCGTCCCGTCGCCACCTAGTACGTCCTCCCTCCTTTCATGGTTCCACTTCAGACTACAAACGCTTTAAAAGGCTATTTTACGGTGTTCAAAGTATTTGAACATTTAATGAATTGTACTCTATACGATTTAATAAAAATTTAAATAAATATATATATAAATAGAAAAAACGAGAGAAAGAGAGAGAGAGAGAGCAGAAATTGAAATTAACAATTGTGACAGAAAGATGGTTTGCGCTTTTTAGCTGCACTGCTGAACTAATACCCGTATTCATAGTTCTTCCTTATCTTAAGGATGAAGGAAGTCTCCATGAACGATTCCTTGAATCTCCAAGACCGCCTTATTTCATAAATGTACCTCGAGTCTTCCTTCCAGAAGGAAGGAATATTTTAGGGATTTTAGTGATTACTGGATACAGCATTGTTTTATGGCGTCAGTAACCTAACCTAGCACCAGTTCAGCAGTGTAGCGAAAAAGAACAGGCTTGTAACTTGTCAGTTCTGTCACTATCTTATTTACAATAAAACAAAAATCATATTAGTCAATAATGGATAAAAGTGTTCATTATACGGATCAGGAGAGAATGCTCTTGGCGCAGCTTATTTCAGAAGAAAAAGCTATTGAAAATAAAAAAACCGGTGCGACAAATATGAAGAATAAGGCAGAGGCATGGGAGAGAATAACAAAAAAATACGCTAGCGAAGGTTGTACACCTCGTTCCAACAAACAACTGAGGAAATGCTGGGATAACATATGAAACAAGTAAGTAATAATGATCTTATTGATATAATAATAATCTTATTGATAATTTATTAGTTTATTATATATACTTTTGTTAAGTGAACTTCTTTTTACATATGTCCTAGACAGCACACGGATGTCCATTGGACGTCTATTATATGTCCATTTTTTTTACAAAAGATGTCCATAGGACGTACGTTTGTCATAACTTCGGACATAGGACGTCCGATGGACATACATCGGACGTCCTATAAGTCCGACGTCCAATAAGGACATCCTTGTTACGTCTAATTTATGTCCACGGACATAAATCGGACATACGGACATAAATTAGATGCGAAACATACATCCACTGGATGTCCGGTACTGTCTGGGTTGTATGTTCTTATATTCGGTTCCTTTTTATTATATTTTGATACTTATTATCTTATTAATTTATCATTTCAGGAAACGAAAATTAAACACGGTGATTCGGCACCACCAGCTTATGACAGGTAAAGGTTCTGCACTAGTATAACCGAATGACCCAGTAATGGAATTCATGAATGCAACACATGCTAACTTAGACGTAGAAATTAATTGCCCATTTGGCAGCACTGCAGTATTTGAGAAAGAATGTAAGCACTATACGTAGATCTTATTTTTCTTTTATATTACAACATTCAATTTTGACTTTTCATTTTTCAGATAATGTACAGATATGTTCTACGTCCACACAAAGACCATCCACACAAGTGATCATCGAAGATGAAAATGAAATGGACGAGGAAGATACTAATGATGTATTTCTGTATGATCAGAACATCCCATCTAAATCTCATAGCATATCATTGGAAAAAGGGGCCACTTTAAAGAGTAAAAATCTAATAATAATGAAAAATCTTACAAATTAAGTTTATATTAATTATTAATATTCGTTAATATGAATAATATTTCGTTGTCATTTCAATAACTTGCTGGTAAAGCAAATATATCCCAGTAACATTACATATTAAACTTTGTATATTACAACATTAAATGAACACATAACTTCAACTGATTTGTGTATGAAATTAAATACATAAATATTTCAGCAACAGCCTAATGTATAATGTTTATATATTAGGTAAATCAGAAAGTTCCGTCCGTTTAGCGACAAGTAGCTATAGCTAGAACTGTAACTGTGTTAACCTGTAATGTCTAAACGAAGCTTAATAGTTTGTTTTGACATCTGTTAATAACATTCAGTACATAAAAGTATATGTTTGCATCAATAACATTGTTTTTCACTACATCGAAAATGTCGAAATTTGAGCCAAATAAGCGTCATTTGCGCAAAGTGTTAATCTTTTGCTCCAATTGGAAGAAAACTGCAGCTGAAGCTCATCGAACGCTTGTAGAAGTTTATGGTGATAATGCTCCTTCCGATAAAACATGCAGAGAATGGTTTCGACGCTTTAAAAGTGGTGATTTTGATATAGAGGATAAAGAACGTTCTGGACGGCCAAGAGTATTCGAAGACGAAGAATTGCAGGCATTGGTGGACGAAGATCCATGTCAAACGCAAAAGCAACTTGCAGAAACATTAAATTGTGCTCAATCTGTTATTTCCGATCGTTTGAAAGCCTTAAGAAAGGTTTACAACGAAGGAAAATGGATCCCGTATGAACTGAAGTCAAGAGACATTGAAAGGCGAAAAACTACCTGCGAAATTCTGCTTGCTAGGCAACAAAGAAAGGGGTTTTTACTTCGTATCATCACTGGGGATGAAAAATGGATTTATTTTGACAACCCCAAACGTCGAAAAACTATTTACGATCCCGGCCAACCCTCAACATCGACGCCAAAACAGAATATCCACGGAAAGAAGGCAATGCTCTGTATTTGGTGGGATCAGAAGTGTGTGCTGTACTATGAGCTGTTGAAAAGTGGTCAAACAGTCACAGGGGATCTCTACAGAGAACAAATGATCCGTTTGAGCCGAGCATTACACGAAAAACGACTAGAATATGAAACGAGACAGCATAAAGTGATTTTGCTTCATGACAACAGTCGGCCTCACGTCACAAAATCTGTCAAGGAAACGTTAGAAGCACTTCGCTGGGAAATGTTACTCTATACGGCTTATTCACCAGACTGTGCTCCTTTCGACTACCACTTGTTTCGGTCGATGGCACACGCACTTGTTGAGGAATGCTTCAATTCTTATGAAAACGTCGAAAAATAGGTTTCTGACCGGATAGCCTTAAAAAATGAGTCATTCTTTTGCCGCGGAATTCGCTTGCTGACCGAAAGATAGGAAAAAGTCATCGCTAACGATAGATAGTACTTTGATATACTTTTTCATTTTGTTTCTTAAATAAAGCCATACATATTGCAAGAAAACGGACGGAACTTTCCGATTGACCTAATAATAATAGGATTTTTATCTTATTGGCAATATTCAAATCGCAACGAAACGAAAGTGGAGGAAAGTAATCTTCATTTCATCAAATTAATGATAATAAAATACTAATGGTAAAATAATTGATTTTCAGAACTCTAACGAAAAATAATTAAGATTAATAAAACTGTGAGAAGCAATTGAAGCAGCGGGAGCTTCATGCTAAAAAATGGCGATTGCTGAAGCAGAAGAGAAGATTGTTATGCTAAAACTGTTGAGGGAGGAAGAGACACTCAGGCAAACATAGTATAATATAAAATATTTATATGATAAAACAACCTTTTTAAAGTTATCACACAGATGTAAGTTTTTAAATATGTAGTTATTGTTACAAGTATAAAATATTTATATAAATTTGTTGTTTATTACAAAATATACTTATTACAAAAGATGAAATCTTGTGTTTTTAAATTTTGAAACGCCACTTTAAATAAGAAACATTTTAGTTTAGTTTTTGGTAAATAAATAAAACATTCTTCAAATAATTATTAATTTTTAATCTAAGCATATGTATAAGTGTAAATTTGTATGAATTTATCTTGATTAACATTATTAGAACATGCCATTTATCGTAGATATAAACTTGATATAAAAAATATAATTGGTTCACAGTACTGTTTCATATTTAAGAAAAATGTCTTAAAATAAAAACATTTCTGTGCGCAATCCTATACCATCTTGTTCTCGATTTATAATATCCTTAAATATATTCTCATTAAGCTCCTCTCAGACCACCCAAATTATTTTGTATACACATTGTGCAAAACGGTAGTGGCACATACAATTGCCACCGATGTGGTCAACGTTGTTCTTAAGCCGTAGTACAGGCATGGAAATCGACGTTTCCAAACTCCGAATAGTTGTTCAACTATAACTCATATTTTGGTACGTGCAATATTGTATCGAATTTCTGCGTCTGTCTCAGGTCTTAAAACAGGCGTCAGTAGATAGCTGCGGCACGCATATCCACTATTACCAAGTAAAATGCCGTCCAGGTGTCCTAGCTCGAAACGACAGGCCGCTTCGATAAAATATTACGGCATCGTGAGTTGAACCTGGATGCCTGACAACTATGTCAAGAATTTCTTGTTGAGGTCCAGCTACATCTCACCACCGGATGCCACCACTGTCGGGCGAACGAGGACACGGCGGAACATACGTTGGGTTCATGCGGGGCATAGATTCGACAACGCCGTGTTCTCGCCCGAGCAGTGGGGTGCCGGGTGGAGGCCCTCTAGCTCCCGCGCATGATCCAGGCCATGTGCGGGAGCGAGGAGGCGTGGGGGACGGCGGTCTTCTTCTGCAAGGACCTTATGTCCCAGAAGGAGACCGCCGAACAGGCCGCCGCCACGTGTTACAACAGGTGTTACAAGGAGCGGCGGGGCTGACGGCGGGACTGGCGACCCCGAGGATGGGTAGTGGGCCCGAGGTGGCGCCAGCCGAGGAGCCGCCCCCGATTCGTCGGGGACCTCCTCGGCCGCTTCAGACTCGCTTCCGTACGCGCGGGGGAGGGCGACGGGTGTAAACCTGCCTTCCCCGCGCGTCGGGAAGGATTGATAAAAGGGGAGTGGAGGCCCGTTTTGGGACGGGCCTCACTCCCCTTCCCCCTCAGGTAATGAGGGGGGTCAGGAGAAAGGGTGGGTCCCCCCTCTCCTTAACTGTAACCGGAAGGCCAACCCGGCCGGGCAACCGGCCAGGGTACCGCGCCCCGACTCCCTGTGTGGGAGGGGCGCGGTAGTCGAGCGTGGGGCTCTCGGTCAGTCCTGGGGCCGGAGTGTTGGGGAGAGAATGCAGAAGTAGTTCGCCTGACTTCCCTCATCATGGCCCGATCGGTAGATATCCCGGTGGGGTTTTAGCCGATAAGAGTCCGACATAACCCCCGCCCTTCCAAAGGGGTGCGAGTATCCATGAAGATTTCCCCATCGTTATAAAAAAAAAGGTCCAGCTACAACCTATAAAAACAAATCATAAAAATTAACTTATTATTAACTTATTCATAATTATTTAACATACGAAATTTGACATGCACACAAAATAAAACAGTTGAAAAAATGTACCTGTACATTTAGAGAGAACCATCTTTCCGATTCCGGAATATCTTTCCCTTATTTCCTTCAGGATTCGCTATGCATATATGGATGCAATCGATACATCCTATTATGGGATGGAAAGTTGGCCACATCATAAAATTTATTTTTATTATCTCGACGTTTTTGTTCGGTGGAAAAATTAATATATACATTCAAATGTGATGCTAAAATTCTGGAAACTCGTGCAACAATTCTCGATACTGATGCTTGACTATATCCTTGCAAGTCTCCACTAACAATTTGCAATTAAAACAGCATACAAATGAAATGAAAATTAATTGTTTACTATGGTGTTACAACAAAAGTTTCAAACCTGAAAACTGCATGTTGCGTGAAAATGCAGTGCCATTAACAATTGCATTAATGCCCTGATAGCACATGTTCTCTTTGAGACGTCCTAAGGATGTACTGAGGATGAAGTAACATCCCTAGGACGTCCTCAAGACGTCCTCTGGACATCTGTGCTATTAGGGTGGAGAAACTACAGTTGTTCAATCGCCTCAACCGAGCATTTACCAAAGATAATAAGATCTCAATCACAACTCTTTTGTTGAATCTGTACTTTTTCCGAAAAGGAACATCTTCGAAAAATTCCAAGGGATTTTCCCAATCACGAATGTACCTTTTTACAAGTCGATACAGAATCGGATCCTCTGGATTTTCGTCCTCAATCCCTCGTCAGAATCATTTAAAAATGCATTGTCCATGATTTTTTTTTTATTTATACACTGTCTGAAAATGCGACACCACAAGTAACTACAAAATTAAAATGTAACAAATTTTTATAGGTTATAATTGGTTGTACTCTGCGCATCATGTGCTAAAAGTAGTCTGTTCATTTTTGCTGCACTTCTGAACTAATACAATAGAGTGAGAGAAAATATATTTATTTCACTCTAACTTTTGTGATAGTTCAGAAGTGCAGCAAAAACGAACAGATCAAAGGCGGCATCTCCTCAAGGAAGCTCGTGACGTCCCTTGAGATAAGAAAGTCAATAAGGCTCCTTATTCGGTCAAGGAAGGTTTATGAAATGTGGAATAAGGAATAAAGGATCCTTATTCCTTAAGGAAGGACTATGAATACGGGTATTTGTGTAATAAGTTATAGTGAGACATATAGTATATTTGTTCTGCGAGAAAGTGAGATAGAAAAAGATGTCTGTAACGCTATTGGTTAGGTAACACGGCTGCGCATGTGCAGTTTATTTTTGGAGACGCAAATGGAGAGTGTCGTTACTGTGGCCGTGTTCCAAAATTCACTACCAGCGCTGAAAAGTTATAGTTTGCGTGACACAAACTATATATTTTCAGTACTGGCAATGAATTTTGAAACACGGCCTATGTATACTGTGCTGCTAGTTTAATAGAAGGAAGGCACCTAATTCGACACAGCCACGATTGGAACAACCAATCGACGTAAAATATTATCTAGTAAATTACTAGATCAACCAATCAACCATTTACTTTGTGTCCAATCGTGTTGTGTCAAATAGATGCACGCCCGAACAGAAATATCGAATATCAATTTATTATTTGAATGTTGGTCAGCTTTAAATTCCCTTTATTTACAGTGTTAGTGCATGCCAACATGCAAAACATCTAACGTATGTAGTTGTGGATAAACAGAAGAATCATCTTCTGATATTTTTCTAAAAACCGCGCGCAAGACGAGCGGAATTATATTTTTGAAATTGAGCTGAATCTTTCGAGCACACACGGTATCGAAGATGTCGATTGGAGTACCTATTAAGGTGCTTCACGAGGCCGAGGGCCACATCATAACCTGCGAGACCAATACCGGCGAAGTGTATCGCGGCAAACTGATAGAAGCTGAAGACAATATGAACTGTCAGATGCAAAATATAACAGTGACTTATCGAGATGGTCGGGTAGCTCAACTGGAGAATGTGTACATACGCGGTTCGAAAATACGATTTCTTATACTACCGGACATGCTGAAGAACGCGCCCATGTTCAAACGACCGGGTGGCAAAGGTTCCGGCACTGCCGGCAGAGGAAAGTCCGCTATATTGCGTGCCCAAGGTTCGATCATGTATTGTGTTTCTATAAACATTAGTTAAAAGTGCTGTTTGCTGCAAATACTACTTTGCACGGTCATCATCAGTGATCATCATGTAATAAATATAAGACACTAATACTGAACAAGCTAAAAATTGAGTAAACTGAAGTTAGCTGAAAATTGAGTAAACTGAAGTTAGCTGAAAATTGAGTAAACTCACTATTATTATACAAGTGGTACAATTATTGATAGATAGATAAATGGTCTGTTCTTTTTAGCTGCACTACTGAACTGGTGCAATAAGTTAAAGTAAAAAAAAATATAGTTGTCTCACTCTAACTTACTGCACTAGTTCTGCAGTGCAGCTAGAAAGAACAGACCAATTGTCAGTGGATGAATGGTTCCAACATTTTTATGTGTAAATTTTGCAATTCAATAGGAGAATTTATTTTTCAATAATGAGATACATTTTTATATTGTATATGGAATACATTGGAATCTATGATGAGGTATAAAAGTATTGCAACTTTTGATCTATTGACTGTATTTATATATTAATAATTGTATCACTTGTAGAACAATAATAAGTTCATACAATTTTACTTCTTCAATATTAATATTTTATATGCAGCATTATAATTAAAATTTGGAAAATGATAAAAACATCTGAGACAATCGAGATATACTAACAAAATAGAGTTAACAAAATAATTATTTTTGTGGATTGAATAATCTTGAAACATAAGATGATATATTTCTTAGAATTATAAATGATAAAGTAAATTGTTATAGCTCGTGGCAGAGGAAGAGGACAGAATCAAAGAGGCAAAGGCACTGGTTCGGCACCATGGCTTAATCAACAAGGTCAACCTGGTGGATCTCAAGCTGGAAGAGGCAGGAATTAAACTTAATTATAAAATGTACATATATTTCTAATATTAAATATAATTGTGACTTTATTTAAATATTTTCAACCATCTGTAGAATACATTTATACATTTACTCATTTTCATCTTAAGACACATGCATGTGCATTTTTTAGAAACAATAACAAATTTAGTCACTGATAGAGTAGTTATTTATTTTTGTGGTCAATGTTTAGTCTATTAGCATACAAGTCTCCCCATTTCCTAATGTAACAAGATTCTAAAGTAAAATAAAATAAGTATTATTATTTTATAATAAAACATATATCTTTTCAATAAAGTGTTTGTATATATTTTATTAATAGCTGTGCAATGTTATATTGTATTTAAAATATGTTTGTGAAGTAGAATTAAGTGGAACAAAAAAGGCACGAATTTATAATAAAATCCTAAAAACTAAAGACCCAAACTTGACTGTTAAAATCACTTTGACTGTTAAAATCACTCAATAGCCACATAAGTATCTGATGCAATTTGGTCACTCAGAAATGTTTTTGTTTTAATTCGAACATTGTAATCAATATATAATAAGAAATGTTTAGAGTTTCGGAATATTAAATGAAAAATATAGACAAAATTTATACGTAACAGCAATACCTTGTTAAAACAATAAAGTAATATTATTATTATATGACATTTGTTCATTATCTAGGAACTAGCTCATTTTGTTAATAATATTACAAATATTAATTTTGTAATATTTCCGAGTATACATAATTATATGGGTCCAATTTGCCTTTTTGATTGGGGTCGCGGTCAACCAATCAGCGAGCGAGTTTTCCGTTGCACTTCTTTGATTGGCTACATTCAGCAGAGAAAACTTAACATAGTCTGATACGTGCTTAAATCAGCTTTTTCTGCTGAACGCAAGCATTATTTAGGATTCTATTTGTAACAAATTGGCGACGGAAATGATCCATTAGATATGTTGCAAATGTTTTGAAACGCTTAAAGAAAAATCATAATTGGTCTACATCACTCTTCAAAGTATTTGTAACGACATGGATCGTACTCTAGATTAAGCCGAAATAGCATTCGATGACTATCGTCTCCGATTGGTATATATTTCTGGTTGATTCGAGTTCTGATTGGTTTATTTATCCAGGCTGTAAAAGTATACTCCAATTACAGACAACAATCATTTAATGCTAAAGCCAGCGGCACACGGTGCTTGTTTTCGTGCTGGATTGCTTGCTGGATGAAAATACTGCGTTCTGATTGGTGCATTTCCATCCATCTTCGGAAATGTACCAATCACAACGCAATATTTTCATCCAGCAAGCAATCCAGCACGAAACAAACACGTGTGCCGCTGGCTTAAGTTCGATCGAACGTAGCTTTACTACCCAACGCAGCTGGCGAATGGCGTATATGTACACCTTACTACCTAACGCCATATACCGTACGAACGAACGAACGAGCTTTGCTACTCGCGCATTATCTCGTCCGGAGCCAGCAAAGAATTGCTATTACTATTACTACTACTACACGCGCATCTTATTTATTTACCGCTAGCTGTTCAGAGTATAAACGCAGTATCTTAAATATTTTTCTACGAAACAAATTGTCGAAACAAGAGTCGAGCGAAGCTATATCTGAAGCTACAGTGAATTTTTTGAGCCCGCCCGTTCATGATGTCGATTGGCGTTCCTATCAAAGTGCTTCACGAAGCCGAAGGCCATATCATAACCTGTGAGACGAACACTGGTGAGGTTTATCGTGGCAAACTGATAGAAGCCGAAGACAATATGAATTGTCAGATGCAAAATATAACAGTGACTTATCGGGATGGTCGGGTCGCTCAACTGGAGAATGTGTATATACGCGGCTCGAAAATACGATTTCTCATACTGCCGGACATGCTGAAGAACGCTCCCATGTTTAAACGACCGGGTGGCAAAGGTTCCGGTACTGCTGGCAGAGGAAAATCCGCTATATTACGTGCTCAAGGTTTGTATATGTAACCCGAGATTGTTCCGTAAACATTAATTGTGTATGAAAGCGATGTTTGTTACAAAATGTTTATTATGATTATTAGAAAATAGTTCGTTTGCATCTGAAGATGTACAATACAGATAATTATTGCCAATATGCTATTGGCACATTGTATATATTGTAAATATCTTCATTTGTGAAATAAATTACAGTTCATGGGTATTCTTACATTTAGATACAAAATATTTTGATCACATTCGATATTGTTTCAAATTGTTAAGAACATGCATCAAGATATTGCTGTTTTCTTTCAAGCCAGTGATACTTGTCATTAAGTTGAATATAAACATGTTGAAATATGCGAGCTTTTTACATCAGAATGTAAATGTATATTCTAGGACTATTAACAGTATCTATTACAGATAAAGATATTAAAATATATCTCTCAGATGTATTAGCTCTAATTATTAGAATATTGTAGTCATATTTGTCCATGTTGTATTAATACTTGTCTTCTATCTATATCGCTATAACAACATTGTTAAATTTTGCCAGAATATATATATAATATTAGTATTTTATATGTGGTAATGTATTATATTGAAAAGAGATTTAAAGATATTGGGAAAATATATATATATATATATACTTTAACACACGAAATGAAATTTTTGCAGAAATATTTTTACAGATAAAATTATTCTAACATATAAAGGCAGTATATTTTGTGATTGAATATGACAAATAAAATTGCAGCTCGTGGCAGAGGCAGAGGACAGCAGCATCAAAGAAACAAAGGTACTGGCTCTGCACCTTGGCTTAATCAACAAGGTCAATCTGGTGGACCTCAGATTGGAAGAGGCAGGAGTTAAACTTATATATAATGATAAAATGTATATATTTTTCTAATATCAAAATAAAATTGTGATATTAAATGTTTTTGAAATATTAGCAGAGTATATCTGTATATTAGTTGAATACATCTATACATTTGTTTATTTTTATTTCGAGACATGCATGTGTATTTTTGCAAACATATTTGGTCGCTAGATACATTAATTATTTATGTGATTGCGTGCCCAGCCCACTAAAAAGTAAGCTTTCTTCCTTAACATTTTAGTTCTAGTTCTGAAGAATTAGAAAAGTTTTATAAAATTAAAAATTTTAATGAAATAATATAAATCATTCTTGTGATATGATTAATATATATTTGAACAAAAGAATTATGTATTTTATTGAAGGGCCTTTTCAGCGCTGTGTTATGTTATGCTTCCTATATTTAAGTTGAAATAGATACGTCTGTGAAATTGAATGAAAAACAGAATTATGAAGACATATGTTGTAAAGAAAGCCAAAGGAAAAGATACCTCTTAACAATTCAATTATTAGAAATATTGTTACGCAATCTTATTATTCTCTATTCTTTGTTTATGTGTATGAAAAAATATTTTTATGCTGTATGTTTCACTAGATTTATGTAAAAGATAAGGCAGTCTAGGCTTTTTAGAATTTATTTATTTTACTATTAAAGATACTCTTACGTGATCTTATTATTTTTTAATTTTCGTCTTATATCTATTTTTAAGAAAATACAGTTTCGAAAAGATACGTATTTTATTATAGATTTATATGGAAAATAACGATCGCGCGCGCGCGTAGAAAATATACAATTTTTTAAAATCTACATATTTATTTATTTGACATCGCTTTTTATTTTCACACATGCGCGAAACTTGGAGTAAAAATATTATTTCATTTCAAACACAACGGGGAATATAAACAATCGATTGTTAGCTAACCGAGCGACATACAACCTTGAAAAGTCTTCCTAGGTAGAACAAGAAATTATGATGATATCAAAATTACGAGAAAATGATCGAATCAATGATGAAAAAATGAATTTTCCTCATCATTTTGATGTCATCATGATTCTCTGTTCTGCTTGGGTTGTTTCCGGCACGGCTGTTGGAATATCTGTAAGATTCGATCAAATAATTCAAGGACATGCTATGTACATTTTTCAATTGAAACAAGACGAGTTTGAAATTCGAGTTAATTTGTGTGGCAAATTCGAAAGAAAGAAAGGAGAAATCTCATTCCGATATGATCGGAGAATTAACACTGGAATGTCCGACGGGGTCATTTTGACTCCTTTAACGTTTTTGTTGTTGCCATTTCTATTTTTCGTCTTTTAGGAGAAACGGTTTCACCATTTTCATATGACTTAATTGTTTTTAAAATAGAACACATTGGAAAAATAACGGAAGATTGATGAGATTCTGATGAATTATTTAGTGATTTACCATGGATACCCAAGGGAACCATTTTATCCTTTATTTAGTTGTTAGTTTTATAAATGCAGTATGCTAGCAGTGTTATAAATGTAATATGCTAACTATTCTTCGACATATCAGTTTCTTTCTTAATCCAAATTAAATCAGCATTTTATTTTGTATTAATTTTCTGTGCTCACCAATTTCCTTTTTGTGCTAATTATAGAGAACAAGTAAATATGATTTATGATATATCTTACCGTAGGAAATTATATCCCAGATAGACAGACATGTTGGCAATAGCATGCATGCATTCAATGTATATTTTATGATACCATTGAAGCGGCATAACATGTTCGTGATATGCTTGCTGTAAGAAATACATTTTTATTATTCCATATTCTGCAGCAAAATATTTGTTTATTTATATTGCTGATTAATGGCGTTCTCTTGCCGATATAATTGTGGTATGTGCAATTTTCATGCCATCAGATTGTTTCTTTTATATGCTGCTACTATGTTTCTCATATGAAGACGAATCTTTATGCTGCTATTTTAATTCTCGAATTCATTCTCTATGCAGACAATCTGCCGAAATTTGTCTATCGGGTATACGCTTGAGAAGTTACGAAAATTATTTTTATCTTGACGGAAAACAGTCAAAAATTTTCGCTTAGTTATTATTAGCTATTATTAGATCGTAACTGTAGATGTAAACACGTAACTTCCCTAAAATTGGTTATATGTTATGTGTGGTGTTTTTTTTTGGAATTTATTAAATTATATATAGGTTTACATAATAGTAATAAAACTTTTTATTTACATATACACATATGCTTACTTTGATCAAGGCTTTATCTTATAATAATTTTTATAGTGTAGTATTCTAGGCAGCACAAGACATCCTCGGGGTGATTCTGAATATGATCCTATATTTGTCTAGAATATTTAATTTCTTAAAATTCTAAAATCTTTTGATTCTAAAAGAAATCGAGCTTTATATATAAATATAAAAAAAAGAAAGCATTCAACTCGATCCTAAATCAGACTTAGCAAATTGAATACCCATACATTACCCATACAGCACACAAAGTTGAAAAAACGTTGCTGCAATATTGCTGCAATTTCTGTGTTGTATGGGTTAATAGCTCGATTTCTTTTAGAATCAAAAGATTTTAAAATTGTGAGAGATCAAAATTTAAAAAAAATTCAAAAATATTTTGCTTATAAAAGTGAAATTAAACTATAATGTATTCAATCTATTAATTCTGATTTAGAATCTGATTTAGGCAAGTACTTTTTTTTCTTATATTTATAATTCAAATAGAAAATATATAATTCGACATAATCCGGAGTCAGCAAATTCAATAAACTATGTTTTTTCTTTTCCTTTAGACGCCTAAGAAAGATGTCCGATAGGATTTCCTCTGGGTGTCCTAAAGACTAGTATCATTTTCTCTTCTTCAGGGCTCTTTCTCCAAAGTACATCCCGGTATATAAAAGTATATAAAATGAAATTTGGATATCCACAGAATATCCGTCTTGCATGTTTTTAGAATTTCCGGAAAATGTCATTGTGCTATCTGGAACAGGTATTAAATAATTAAGGTAATAAATAATTAATAATTATTAAATAATTAATATATATACATTTTCACGTTATGTCTACAATTTGCTAATTATGTTCTTAGCATGTTCAGAAGTCATCATCATTGATATGAGTAACGAGGAATAGGGAGTGTTTGAAAATATTAGGACTGCAAGGAGTCAAAATAACTCTCTCTCTCTCTCTCTCTCTTTCTCTCCTTTTTGAGCATCCAAGAAAGTTGTTTCCGGGCATTTTAGTATTAATTGCACTTCTGCGCATCTGCTGTCGTCTGTTTGAAGAACAGACGAAATTCAGTGCTCGCCGCTCGGCTCCGAAATGCAAGAAAGTCACAAAAGGGCGAGCAGATGTAACAATTAAGGATCGCAGTTTAAAGATGTGTTCAGGGAGACGCTATTTAGTACTATAGGCTGTTCGCGGAGCTAAATGATGACGCTATCAAACGCTATTACAACGTCACTAATAATATTGCCATAATTACGCGCTATCAACGCTATTTCTTCTAAGATAGCGTTGATAGCGTTTGTAAGCATCGTGAACATTCGAAACATTGTGAACTGTACATTTGTAACTGTACATGATCGTCAAACGGTACTAGTATGTCGTACCTATTATTTTTATATTATTTATGTTATTTTAATATTATTTATGTACGTATATAATGGATAATTGCATTTAAATAAATCTTCAGAGTGTTAAAAGTGAAGAAGTGTTTAACACTAGAAGTACCGGAGGGGGTCATTTAACACTTCTCGATTTTTTAATGGTCATAAGTTCTGTTATGATACAAGCTAGAAATTTGTTGACTTTTATTACTTTATACTATAGTATCTTTAAAAAAATATAAAAAATTATATATTAAAAAAATATAATATTTAAGGAAATATATACGATACAAATTTTCAGAGTGTTAAAATTGAAGAAGTATTTAAGGCACCCTTTTAGTACTGATTGAAAGAATTGTACCTAAGCGAAGAATACCGAGCCAAGTTGATGTAATTATTTTATAGTATTTAGTAAGGTTGAGAAAAAAAGTATAAACATAAAAGTAAGAATGATATTTACCAAATTCAAAAGGAACATATTATGAAATAAAGAGAAAATAAATTAATGCCAAATGTATTTCAATATTTGTTGAAAATCGTGTACTAATAATATTTGTTTAAAATCATGAGCAAAAATCAGTTATTTTTTATAAATAGTATTTGCAAATAAGAAGAATCGTCGTTTGGTTATAGTTTGATGTAGAATACGTAGTATAAAGCATAAATATTGCATTTTCAATTATTCGTACCAAAATTACTAATATCAAAACACAAACCTAAATGATAATCCCATGATACGCAACAAGCATCAGGAGTATCGCGGAATATAACAGAAAGTTAAACCCATAAACAATTTTTTCAATTTGTGGAACATTTCACATCGAATTTCTGAAGAGGAATTCAACCATTTATAATGTTTTATTAAATTTTATTAAATAACCATTTATAATGTTTTATTAAATAAAATTTATTTTAAGACAGAGTTCTCTCGCGATGCGCATAGTAAGGCGCCATCGCATGCCCAATGATATATCATCATTGGCACTTTTTGCAAGTGTTGTTAACAACGATATATCGTTGTTCGGCACTATAAGGATTAATACTAGAAGTACTGGAGGACGTCGTTTGATCTTTCTTGATTTTTAATGGTCATAAGTTCTGTAATGATACAAGCTAGAAATATATTGACTTTTATTATTTTATACTATAGTATCTTTAAAAAATATAAGAAAGTTATATATTTAAAAAATAATAGGGGAGACCGGGGCTAGTTGATACAGTTTTTTTTAATGAACTTTTTAAGCATAAGTAACAAATGGAATATAAGCGGTATGAGAATTTTTTAATAGCTACATGCTTATACAACACAAAAATTATTTTCTCGATTGAATATTTCTATTAACTTTGTTGCGTCAATGAAAAATATAAGGCGACAACATTTGTAATAAGCAACCTCATATATGAGGTCAATTGTTACAGATCTCTGTATTTCAAAGAATACATTTAATTATTAGAAATAAATTAAAAATGTGCTTGACATAATTATTAATATTTTGCAGATAAAACATATCATGTAGCATTCATGATGTAAACATAAATATGTTTATCAATGTCATAAACATAAAAGCATATCTGTCAATTATTTTAACTGCATTAGTGAATTAGTACACTTACTGAACTAGTGCAGTAAGTTACAGTAAACAGCTGACAGCCGTAACAATCAGTTTCAGCTCACCATATTTACATATTTTGGTTATTGTATAAACAAAAGTATATTTCAAGCCGTCAGTATAACTAAAAATGATTACTTTTAAAATAAAGATTTTAAATAAACTGTTGCAATCATAATGCAATGACCAGATTTATTAATATAACATAATACATATGTCTGATTTATTTTATTTTTGACTATCAAACATTAGAAATGTTTTTTGTTTCTGAAAATACACTAGTTAGCCTGAAATAATTTGTTACAACCTGACCACAATGTTTTTGCAGAATTACTATATTTTTTATGCAATTTTACCGTTTGTCATTTTGCAATAATTTTAAATGTATCAACGTGTTCCATGTATCAACTATCCCCGGTCTCCTCTACATGATACAAATCTTCGGAGTGTTAACCTTTAGAGGACCGGGGTGGCTCCTATAGGAGCCACATATAAATCGGCATTCAGTGTTTTCTTAAAGGTTATATTATAGTTATTTATGCATTTATGTCGATGTTTATGTGCTCTAAAAATATATTTGCATATGTGTTCGTGTGATTTTTACCTTACTTGTAAATAAATATTTATTAACAAATACACATTTTAACTGCATAGTAATTTGCATCTCAGTACGTTTTTATTTATAATAGACTCACTTTTTCTCAGAATTATATAAAATCAGCATACAACACTATTAGAATTTTGATTGCGCACAGTGCGTGACAACAATAACTCTAAAAGTAATAAATAAGTATAAAAAATATACAGAAAAATAGTTTTAGAAACAAAATAATTTTAATTATTTTTTAAAACCAAAATTAAAAAATTTATAAAAAATTAAAAAAATAAAAAGAATTAAAATAACAAAAAATATAAAAAAGACAAGGGAGCTACATAACTTTCTACGTCCATGTCGTTAGCTTTGGGTTATGCTAAAGGAAAGTTTTATTACCGTATGAGATTACTTATAGTAATATAGATTTATTTTAGGTAAATAATTGCCTTTCTTTATAAAATTTCGATAATCTGATATCAAAATGATGATCAGCGATATAAAAAAAAAATCCCTAAAAATGTCAAGATTCAAATTTTGAAAATTTTTTATTTTGGCCGTTTCGTTCTGGACCGGGGTGGCTCCTATAGGAGCCACTAACAAAACTCGAAAACTCTACGCGACATGATGGTTACATGATGGATATATATATAAATTTTTCGCGGAAAAAATTGCAAATTTTAAAGGAAAAATGCCGGTCCTCTAAAGGTTAATATCACATAAAGGTTAAAACCAGACTTGCACAGACCACAGTTCATGAAGTTCGCTATTACCATCGCGCTATTGGCTATTGAAGGGTTTGGTAGCGTTAATGGGGAGTTTTTGCAATACCGTCTCTCAGATACGGTAAACGTTGATCGTGAATGCTATTGGTCGCGTATATTGCGACATTATTTCTGAGCGAATAACGTTCACGATTTACGTTTACCGTATCTGAGAGACGGTATTGCAAAAACTCCCTATTAGCGTCTCCCTCCCGAACGCGCCCTGGGAAAACGTATGGGACCGCAAGTGGAACGCTATTGCTCCAGCTCGAGTCGCATCGGCGTTCGGGCGCGCGGGCGCGCGGCGAGATGGCGCTACGCGATTGGTCGGCCGGGCAGTAGCATGACAGCTTCCGCCCCGCACAGTGTTTTTAAAGGCCAGGTGTGCGCGCACCGTCGAATAGATTGACGCTCCGCGATTCCTCCGTCGCGAAGGATCGCGTGCGACCAGCCGACCGCCGCTCGCGAACATTGTGCCTTGCCTGTCGTCGGCCCCGTCGGAGTGCGTCGCGAGAGAGTGTTGTCTGTGAGAGTGTTCGCCGGGAGAGATCAGGGAGAGATCACCCTCTTCTTCTCTTGTGAGCCCTGTGTCTGTCTCTCTTCCTCGCTCCCTGGCGCCGCATCGCGCGTGCCGTGTCGCTCCCGTTTCTACCCTCGTGAGAGGGAGAGGGAGGGAGGGAGAGAGAGAGAGAGAGAGAGAGAGAGAGAGAGGGAGAGGGAGAGAGAGAGAGAGAGAGAAAGAGAGGACCGACCATATCACCCGTGACGGAAAGGTTCGAGGTAAACTTCCTCCTGGGAATGTTGAGGGACTCGCTTGTCGTTCGAGCGTTCTGCCAAGAGGTGGGTAAGTCTGGTTGATGATCTTCTTCGTTAATGACGCGCGGACGGGTGTGCGTACGGTGTATGCGTCTGCTGTGGGTGCATGCGTGTGTATACCGTGTGGATGTGTGTGTATGTGTGTGTGCGCCGCGACGGTACCGCGTCGTCGGCGCGCCACCCTTGGACGGCGACCTCCAGCACCGCCGCCGCCGCCGCCGCCGCCGCCGTCGCCGCTGCCGCCAGCGCTTTTTTCCCCAGAAGAGCGTCGCCGGTGGCTTCGCCGCCGCGCCGCGCGGTCCGAAGCTCTTGTGTTATACACATCGAGGCTCGCGGGCACCAAGGAACCCTCTCGCTCGGAGCACACAGCGTCGAATACATTGTCTCTTTGGTTTTTATACTCGTGACTTTCAAATTTGAACATACGAGTTTGAACCGTCATGTCAAACTGTCACATGGCCGCTTCTTGTAATCCAAGGTGTGTTAACGCAGTTGGAATCACCTGGGACGTAGCTCGAATATCGGCTGCGAATGTGCACTTTTCATTTCGCTCTTTATTTCGCATTTTAATCGCCTTTTCGATCGAAGCGAATTTGCACAGCTCGTGGGAGGTTAATGAGTGGTGATGTCATGAGATCCGTTTACGCGAAGAGAATATTGTAGTTTTTCCTCGTATAAATTCTTTTCGGTTTTGTCATGTTTTCGAATGGCGCAGGGATATGGTATTAATAGTTCATCTTACTGAGATACACATAGAAAATTTGTTATTAATTATTAAGATTTTAATTGCTGAGAAAGATACATTTATTGAATCCTCGGAAAAATATATTTGTATATATGTGTTTTGGAAAATATACAAGGTGTCCTATTTTAAATCCTCCAGGCAAATATCTCGAAAAATATGGAAGGTATGGAAAAATGTTTCAGACAAAAGTTGTATGGTTTCAAAGGAGACATAAAACAACTATATCAATTTGTTTACAAATGGCGCCATTTTCGAGATATTCACTGATCATCACTTTTCTTAAATGGAAATCCCAATTTCTTATTAGACCATCTTTTTCTACCAATTATATTGAATAATTTTTGTCTGAAATATTTTTTTATTTATTTAATATTTTTTGAGACATTTAAGGAAAACTTGATAACTTTTTCAATATTTAATTTATGATATCTCGCTAACTATTTGTCGGAAGAAAAAATAGTACTAGGTTTTTTACTCTATGTGATCTCAATAATATATTGTTACAATAGTGCCCTAACTTTTGTTAACTTATCGACTTTTGGATATTTCAAAATCATCAAATTAACAAAAATCAGGATGCTACTGTAACAATATATTCTTGAAACTAAATAGAGTAAAAAAGTCTAGTACCATTTTTTCTTTCGAATAAGTTAGCGAGATATCGTAAGTTAAATATTGAAAAAGTTACCAAGTTTTCCTTAAATATCTCAAAAAATATTAGACGAATAAAAAATGTTTCGGACAAAAGTTGTTCAAATTAATTGATAGAAAAAGACGATATAATAAAAAATTGAGATTTCCATTTAAGAAAAGTAACGTAAGTAAGTAAAGGAAAGTAAAGTAAGAAAAGTAATCAGTGAATATCTCGAAAGTGGCGTTATCTGTAAACAAACTGATATAGTTATTAGGTGTACAAATGAATAATCCAAATTATTTTAAGCAGTTATGAAATCAATTTTAAATTGAATAGATTTTCGCGCTCTTTTGTGATTATGCAATGTTGACATATAGCTATTAAAAAGAACATATAGTTTGGTGAAAGGCCCAACATAACCTTCAAAAGTATTCAGTTCAGTACAGTCGAAAATGGCAACAAATAAGGTGCATATCCGACACTGCATTCTTTACGAATTCCAACAAGGAAAAAAGCTGCAAGAGCGCGAATGCGAAGAGCAAGAGTGCGAATCGATTTGTTCCTTTCTTGGCGAAGGTGTTGTATCGTACGATGTGTGCGCATTTTGATTTAAGCGGTTTAAAAGCGGTAATTTCAGTCTAATCGACAAACAACGCTCTGGAGACTCTCCGAAGTGCGATAATGATGATTTGGAACAACTGCTCGCTGAGAATTTGGCACAAACACAAAAAGAGCTTGTAGAACAGTTGGGAGTAACGCAGCAAACGATTTCCAAACGCCTACATGAGATGGGAAAGATCCAGAAAGAAGAAAAATGGGTTCCGCATGAACTCACTGAAACCAATAAAAATCAACGAGTGGCAGCGTGTCTTTCTCTTCTCAATAAGCAGCGTCGAAAGTCTTTCTTGTGGAAAATCGTTATGGGCGATGAGAAATGGATACTCTATGACAATCCGAAACGCAGAAAGTCATGGGTAAATCCCGGCGAATCATCAAAATCGGTCGCAAAACCCAGTCGCTTCGGAAAGAAGGTTCTTCTCTGCATTTGGTGAGATATCAAGGGCGTGCTTTATTATGAGTTGTTGGAACCGGGTGAAACAGTTACTGCGGATTGCTACCAACGTCAATTAATCTGCTTAAGTCAAGAATTGGAACGAAAACGCTCGTATACTGGCAAATTGGGAGAACGTCCAGTGAAATTGTTGCATGACAACACCAGGCTTTCAACACATTGCTTTCAATACAAAAGACACCATACTGAGTGGCTGGGACGTCTTGCAGCACCCGGCGTATTCACGAGACATTGCTCCATCCGATTATCACTTGTTCCGGTCGATGCAACACGCCTTGTCCGATATGCACTTCCAATCAGTGGATGAGATCCGAAAATGGCTTGACGACTTTATCGTGTTCAAAGACGTAACATTTTTCCGAGATGGAATTCATCAACTGCCTGAAAGATGGCTTAAAGTTATAGAAAGCAAGGGCGAATATTTTGATTGAACAATTTAATTTACTTTCTTTTAAAATAAACCTTGAATATAGTTGAAAAAATTGGATTATTCATTTGTACATCTAATATATAGATATGCATGGTTTTATGTCCCCCATAAAACCATGCAATTTTTTCTGAAATATTTTTCCGTGTCTTCTATATTTTTCGAGATACTTGTCTGGGGGATTAAAATGGGACAACCTGTATATATTATATGCGTATATGCCTAACTAATTTTTTGGATTATGGTTAGTAATTTTTTTTAATATAATTTTTATTTCATTTTATATACATATACACACACACACACACACACACACATATATATATATATATGTACGTATATATATATAATTTTTATTTTATCATACAGGCTATTCCATTTTAAAAAAAAACTCGATACTTTTTCAACGAAGCATTTTCAGCAAAAATGTTTCCAAAAGTTGTATGATTTTAAGGGGGACATAAAACAACTATGCTATTTTGTTTACAAATAGCACCGCTTTCGAGATATTCACTGATCATTACTTTTCTTAAATAGAAACCCCAATTTTTTATTACACCGTCTTTTTCTAAAAATTAATTTAAACAACTTTTGTCTGAAACATTCTTTTATTTGCCTAATATTTTTTGAGATATTTAAAGAAAATTTGAAAACTTTTTCAATATTTATCTCATGATATCCCGCTAACTATTTGTCGGAAGAAAAAGTGATACTAGATATTTTTGCTCTACTTGGTCTTAAGAATATATTGTTATAATAGCATCCTGACTTTTGTTAATTTGATGATTTTGAAATTTCTAACAGTCAGTAAGTTGACAAAAGTCAAGGCGTTATTATAATAATATATTCTTGAGCTTAATAGAGCAGAAAAGTCTAATACCACTTTTTTTCCGATAAATAGTTAGCGAGATATTGTGAGTTAAATATTGAAAAAGTTATCAAGTTTTCCTTAAATATCTCAAGAAATACTAGGCAAATAAAATGTTTCAGACAAAAGTTGTTTAAATTAATTGGTAGAAAAAGACGGTGTAATAAAAAATTGGAGTTTCTATTTAGGAAAAGTAATGATCAGTGAATATCTCGAAAGTGGTGCCATTTGTAAACAAAATAGTGTAGTTGTTTTATGTTCCCCTTGAAATCATGTAACTTTAGTCCGAAACATTTTTGCTGAAAATGCTTCATTGAAGAATTATCGAGGTGCGTTTTTTTAAAATGGAACACGTTTCTATATACACACACATGTATATGTATATATAAATTTATATATATATGTATATGTAAATATATACATGCACATACATGTATATAATAAAACAAAAATTGTAGATTTATAAGTTAAAACATTAGAAGTGCATTGTAATATTAATTATTAAATTTTAATATTTTTATATTGAAATATATTTTTAATGTTTTAATTATATATTAATAATGTTTTAAATATATTTTAATATTAAATCATTAGAAATACATTTTAACATTAAAATATTAAAAATACACACAACACATATGGAATAAGTTAAAGCAGAATGTCGAGGAGTTTCTCGGCCACAAAATGTCACAGCCACTTTTACTTTTAAGATTCTTTTCGTGCAGCATACTGCAGAGTTTTCAACGTCATTAATCGCTTCCGTGGCAAGCCAAATCCTCTCTTCAGTCTAAAATACTACATAGAAATACCACAAGAGAAATAATAGATCAGCGAAGAGAAGTGCGCGAAAGGAAGATTGAGAAGCATTTTGCCAATTGCTCGCGTCGACTAGTCATTAATTCACATGTGACTTCTCCAACGTTCAGGGTTTTCGCATTTTCTCTTTCCTCGAGGATGCTTCTCTCTCCGACGCGCAATGGATGACGCGCAACAGCGAAATAAGCGAGGAAAAGAAAAAGAGAGATAGAGAGGGAGGGATAGAGAGAGAGAGAGGGAGGGGGGAGAGAGGAGGAAGAAACAATGGGTGCGTTCAGGAAGACGCTATTAGTGCTATTTAGTGCTACAGGCTGTTTGCTGAGCTAGATGGTAGCGTTATCAAACGCTATCATCTGATGTCACTAAAGAACGCTTTACACGGTACTGCTTTTATTCTCTCTGAGCAAGGTTTTTAATTCACCAACGAATCCGCTGGTAAAAACTTCTTCTGAACGCTAGATTTTGA